AGGGGTGGGCGGGTGGGGTGCGGAGGGTTGGGGTCAGGGCGAGAGGGGGGGGGCGGCAAGCTTGGTAAGAGGAAGGAGTGAGGCGAGGGCAGGAGAACGCAGCTGCTGTACTGACATGATGCAAGGCGAGGCCCCAGGGGCGACGTAGCAGCAGAGAGAGAGAGATTGAGAGAGAGACTACGCTGACGCCTCGCGCGGCTAGAAGCCATGCTGCAAGCGGCGCAGCGTCGGGTTAAGGAGAGGGGTGTGTGGTGTGAGCCACACCCCCCACCGTACGTAGCAGCACCATAGCAAGTCTTCAGAGCACGCTACTGGCGAGTCCCCCACGCGTCCGCGGCACCGCGCCGCCCGCCCGCCCGGCCTCTCCCGCCGGCCGGCCGGCCGCCTGCCCCGCCCGCCCACCTTCCAGCCGACGCGCGCGAGCATGTGCTTCATCTCGTCGCGGATCTCCTTGTAGCGCTCCTCCTTGTAGCCGGCCGTGTCGCTGTCCATCTTGTTCACGCCGATGATGAGCTGGCGCACGCCCAGCAGGTTGATCAGGCGCGCGTGCTGGCGGGTCTGGCCCTGGATCTCGCCGGCCTTGTGGTCGCCCTGGGGTTTGAGGGTTGCCAGGGTGCCGAGTGCGAAAGGAGGGGGGATGTGGGAATGTGCAGGGGTCGAGAAACGATGGTCTGCAGCCTCGGCTACCATGGAACCGGGGCCGGCCAGGAACAGGAGTGCAGCACGCGACTAGCGCGTCCATCCGTGCCGCTTCGGTAGTAAGCCACGGCTTCATATGTCACCGCCCCACACCCAGCTGCTTGCGCGTCAAACTCGGTCTCTGGCCGCGCACGCGCACCTTCTGGATGGCGGTGGTGAAGTTGCCGTCGGCGGGCACCATCAGCAGGCACACGTCGGCCTGGGCGGCGCCGGAGATCATGTTTTTGATGAAGTCCCTGTGGCCTGGGGGGGCCCAGGGGTTGGGGGGCAGCTCGGGCAGGCCAGAAGGTGAGCATGGCGGCACGAGCGGGTCAGACCAAGGTATATTGAGTCACTCAAGTTTCCACGGCTGCGACTAGTGTGGCCAGTCCTTTGGGGTCCTGCGTCCCTCAGCGAAACGAGACACCAGGTTGAACAGTTGAACCCTGCGCGCGTGTGCTGGTCAGCCAACAGGGCCAGCAGCGGCGGCGCGTATATGGGCCTCGCCCGCGCGCACCGGGGGCGTCGATGATGGTGTAGTGCCACTTCTCGGTGAAGAACTCCTTGGTGGTGCACGCGATGGTCACGCCGCGCTCGCGCTCCTCCTTCTGGCGGTCCATGTAGAAGGCAAAGGCAAAGGACTGCTTCCCCAGGGCCGCGGCCTCCTCCTTGAGCTTCTCCAACTCGCGCTCGGGGATGCCGCCCAGCTCAAACAGCAGGCGGCCTGTGGTCGTCGACTTGCCAGAGTCGACGTGGCCGCAGATCACGATCGACAGGTGCTGCTTGCCCTCCGCCATGGTGGCTGGCTGCGGCGGGAGGGGTGCGTGGCGGGGTCGGCGCTCGGGTGGTGACGAAGCGCTTGGCGTCTGATCTGGGTCCTGGCCAGGCGGCATGGATGCGCCTGTGCGTAGATCAAGACATGATCACGCCTTTCGTGCCATACATGCACACGTGAGCAGGATAGGGCGACAAGAACGCCTGGAGAGTGGACCTCCCGTTGCTCGAACCGCTGCTCGGACGTGGCAACCGTGCATCAGCGCCGCAGCGTATACATATGATCTTTCCTGTTACTTGTCAATCCATTTGGCCTCGGCGCGTGCAGGCTGGCGGCAGCACTGCACCGGACCCTGGCTGTGCGCACCTGTGGTGGATTCGCGTGGCCTAAATAGGAGGATCTACTTCAACGTGCGCCTCGCCTGAAACAAAAAGGCTGAACCAGTGCAGCGCTGGGACAAATTGTCGCGGAAGGGGTCGCCGAGAGTCTGGTGGAGTGAGTCGGGTGAGAATGTATCTTGGCTCGTACCCGACTCTGATATTACATCTGCACAATCTCACGCACTGTCACGCTTCGTGGCTGCAGTGGCTGCTTGAGACTTGCTCAAGCTCCTCGTCCAGCACATGCTCTCCTCTGTATGTGCTGCTCAGCAGCAGTGCTGTATGCGAGCAGCAGCGCAGCCGAGCAGCAGCGCAGCCGAGGTGGGGTCCTTCCAAGCGATATGCAGACCAATGACTGGCATTGTCATGTTGCCGCGCCTCATAACGTGCTTTCTCACGGCCTCGGGCCCAGGTCAACTCCCGGAGGGCCTGCGTGTTGCCTCGACAACTAAAACTTGCCTTGCCGAGACAAGCAAAGTTGGTCTCGTCTCGTCGATACAACACACCTACCGGTATACTTGGCTATGAGTCTGTGATCAGCCCCAGCGGCTGGGGATAATCAATTGATGGGGCACTCTTGAGTCTTGCTCGCCGCCCCACCGTGCTGCTTGGCAGCGGACATCTTGGGCACATCGATATATGTTGATGCCGGCGAAGATGTATGCCGGCCAAGATGCATCTTGGGCCATCGATGTGGGAACCAGCATTCACACCGCTGCCTTCCTGCACATGTTGCCCGTTACGAAGTCCAAAAATGACTGTATTTCAGCTGTACCTTCCCTCAAAACGTTTTCAGGGGAGCGTGCAGCAGCAGTTTGGAGCATGGCGGAGGAGGCTTGGTGACTTGACTGCTGCTGGTCAACATACCCCCTTGCAGCATGCTCGTTACACTTGACTGGCCACCTGGTCACAGAACACTTTTGAATGTGAAAGTAATGCAGGCCACTGATTTTCAGGGTGCAGCAGAGGTGGTGCAGGCCGTGTGAAGTGGGTGGGGGTCAACGCCGCGACCAAAAGTCGCTGACGGGCGTATTGTGGCAGGGACATGGCGATGAAACAGCTTGACCTGGTAAGCCAAGGTTGATTCGGATAGGGCACGGCCGCGCCCACATGCACAGGTACATGCCCTGGTAGTGCTCAAGCACGGGCGTGTGTTGCATGCAAAGCTCGGAAAAACGGCTGTCGCTTGGCAGGCGCCAAAAGGTGGAAGGCAACAGTTGGGTGTGCTGTGTCACCTGTCATCTTCTTGGCCCTGTCACGCGCTACGCCGCCACCGCCGTCTCCCCCTCCTGGTCGGGGCGGCGGCGACGCGACGAGACGCGCAGGAGCGCCGCTGCGGCCTTCGCGGCAATGGCCGCGCTCAGCTCGGGCTTGGCGGCGGCGGCGGGGGCGGGGGCGGGGGCAGAGCAGCACACGGCCGCCTTGGCGGGCACATTGGGGGCGGGCGCGGTGGGCGTGGCCCCGCACAGGAAGAGGCGCACGATCTTCTTGGCCACCCCGCGCTTCTTTGCCTTGGTGCTGGACCTTGGGCAAGCGCCGGGGGCGGCAGAGTTGGCCGCGGTGGGCGAGGTGTGAGTCGTGGAGTCGACGGTCAAAAGCACCTCGCCGTCGTCGGCGGAGGTGTTGAAAGCTGGGACGGCGTCGTAGTAGCCGGCGTCCGGCGCCATGGAGAACGACGCGCACGACTGCAGCGACAGGAACGAGGGGGTGGCGCTGTTTGCGGAGGCATACTCCGAGGCGTCGTCACTGCGGTTGTCAGCAGCCGTGCTGCCGCTGCGGCCCTTGTTGGCGACCAGCAGCTTGCCCTTGAACGCCAGGCGGAGCGCCGACAACTTGGCGGCGGCGGCGGCGGTGGTGAAGGGGTTGGCAACCGCGTCGCACGTGGCGGTGCACTTGGTCTTGAGCTTGGTGGCGGCAGTCTTGAACCCACTGGGCGTAGGGGCCGTGGGAGCAGAGGGGCTGCTGCTGCGTTGGGGGGCGTCGTCGCCTCCCTTATTGGAGCTTGCGCTGGCCGTATGGGGCGCGGGCGGGGGCTCAGTGGGCTTGATGGGGCTCTTGGCAGTAGTGGCGGCGGATGCCGGCGACGCCGCCGGGGAGGAGGCCGGCTTCTTGGCAAACTTGATTGGGGACTTGCAGGACTGGAACAAGGCGCGCGACTCGAGGCAAACGCGCTTGAACCACCCGACCTCGACGGCGGAGCTGGCGGCGGCGGCGCTGCACGGCGCGTCGGGGCAGCAGCGGGGTAGGGCTGTACAGTTGGCGCAGGCTTGGCAGCAGCCTCGGCGGGCGTGGCGACCGTGGATGTCTTGACGGCAGACATGAGCGCTGCCTTGCGGCCCCTCTTTGCGCGGGAGCGCTTGTGGAAATTAGAGGCCCGGAGGGCAGTCAGCACTGAAAGAAGATTAACCAGCATCTGTGTTTCAGAGAAAGGAGGGGCGATCCAGGTGGATGAGAGCATGATGACGGCGGCCGCGCACAAGGAGGTTGGGTGAGCACCAAGCAACTGTCAGGAGAAAACATAGGACCTGGCCCAGCCAGCTGCTGCTGGCTTGGTGGCGGCCAGAAACAAGCTGCCGGCAGGTGCATTGTTTCTTCAGACAGTCTGGTGCTGTGTTTTTTGGTTGCAAATGTGGCTCACCACAAGATCCTTCAGGGCCATGGTCGCTGGAGGCAGGAGGTGCTTGTGCTTCTGCGCAACGCGGCGCAGTGGTGCGGAGGAAGGTGCAGGCCGTCAGGCGCGGGATTGGCATGCAACCTGATATAATAGCCTGAAAGGAGGTGAGAACCTTGTTGACACCTCCCACAAGAGGCAGGCATGTCCGGAGAGGAGCTGTTTGGCGAGTGCACCTGCCGTGGGCAACCAGAGACCCAAACACAGCCTTGAGGGGGCCCTCACCAGTTTAAAGAGAAGATAGTTGCAATATAAGTCTCGAGAGCCGCGCGTGGTGGCCTACTTGCAACTCGGACGGAGTCGTAGTGCTGCTGGCAGGTCCTCCGGGTTGGGATAGGAAGCTAGGGGGCTTGAGAGAGCAGAAGTATGTTCTTCGTGAAATATTCATTGTACACTTACCATGGTGCGGCGAACGAATGTGGGGGCCACAAGCACAAGTGTCCCGTCGACCGCCACATGCTGAGTTGGCGGGCGCCCCAACCCGTCAAATCTGGTCCCTCACAGCGATGCAGAGCTTGTGAGATTCACTATGGGATCTTCACACGCTGCGTCCCGTCAGCCCCCACAACCAGCGACAGGACCCTCCTGGCAGAATGAGAGCCGCGGGTGTGTGTGGCACGTGCGGCGGCGTGCGACGGCGGCAGCAGACCAGAGCGTGATGTCCGTGTGCCGGCGCCATGCACAACGTAAAAAAAATGACGAATCTGACTTTATGTCTAACCTTCTCTTCTCTCTATCACCAGGACTGATGCTTGCCTACCAACAGTGTACATTTGCAACATGATGACCCCACGGCAAAGCTGCAAAATGCCCGCGATCGGGGATGCGTGTCCAGGACGTGCGCATGCTTCACAGCTGTCTGCTCCCCCCCCTGCAGCTCCTTGGGCTCCGAGCCCCCGCTCAGGGACTTGGCGCGCGGCAGCCACCCTGAGCACACACTTGCAGTGCGCACATGCCCTTGAAGGCCACAGCAGAATACCGTAGTGTCGCGAGCGCTGAAGCGCAACTTGGCAAGCCATTGGACACGGGATGAGCTGCTGGCAGGGCATGCTGCCAAACTCCTGCGCCTGCATGACGCAAACACTCAGGACATCAAGTCGCAAACACTCAGGACATCAAGTCAACGGACCTGGAGTCGTGGCGCCGAGCTTCTTGAGATTGAGCTCTTGGACCTGCAAAGCATGGAGCTTCTGCGCTCATGAGATTTTCAATGCAGTGTGTACAGCCATCATCAACGGCAGCCACTTTTACTGGTGGCGCCGCCGTGAGTGGGGTGCTGCCCGCTGGCTAGCTGCGTGAAGTAACGCCACGTGTCAAAGGTGGGTGACGTGTGTGTGCATTGCAAGCGTACGGTACAGTCACACCAGCAGGTCCCCATGGTCGTCCACACCACCATTCTGCTCCTACTTTACGACACCACAGCTGGCTTGCTGACGGTATAAACAGATCAGTTGCCCGCCACGAGATCGCAAGCAGCAATCGCAGCCAGATCGCAGCCATGTCGTCCCCAGATAAGGGCAAGAAGGTCAAGAAGAAGGAGGAGGCGAAGGCCCCGGGGATGGACATCCGCAAGTTCTTCAGCGCCAAGCCCGGGGGTGTGTGGCCTTGAAGGGCGCAGGAGGATGCTAAAATAACTGCAAATATTATCATAAGAGTGGCTCTTCAGCGTGCCAATGACGTCGATTGATCTTGGCAAGTGATCAATCAATTGTGCACTTGCAGGCGCCTCAAAGCCGACAGCAGCCAGCAAACCTGCTGCTCCAAAGCCGGTAAGTACACCGGACAATGTCGCCTGCTATTCCGACGCGCTGTTGCGTGCATGCGCCGCTGCTTTGCGCGCTTTGCGCCCCACTGTACTGACAACTCTATTCAAAACAGGCTGCTCGCAAGGAGCCCCCTCCAGCCGCGGCACCAGCGACGTCCCCGGTGAAAGCCACCGATGCGTCGGCGAGCCCTGCAGCAGGGTGAGCAGCTGCGGGGGCACGGGCACCACCGGCTGGAGGCGTTTTGTGACGAGCTGCCTAGGCTCTTCAGGACATTACTGGCCGCCTCACCCGCCGGCCCCAAGCCCGCCGAGGCGGGCGGCCGCGCCCCAGGGTCAAGGCTGCACTCCAGGGCTCCCCGGCCCATCCTGGCGCACCCCCGCACCCCCTCGCAGCCGCAGCACGCCCAAGCGCGCGGCGGCGGCGGCAGGTGCGGCCGCGCGCAAGCGCAAGAAGGCCATCGTCATCGACTCGGATGATGACGCCTATGAGGTGCGAGCCGGGCCTGCTGATACTGGATTCATGTGTGCGTGCACGTCAGCGCATCCGTGAGCGGTCCCGTGGGGCCTGGTATTTGGGCGAGGCTGCCTCAGCCGTTCTCACGGGGCCGCTGCTTTGCCGACCGCCGTTGCCGTCGGCTGGCGCGGCCCTGGCCGGATGCAGGCGGCCGCCGGCAACGCGCGAGCGCCGCTAGCTAGGCTGCCACGTGTGTGAAATGACGGGCGGCCGCTCCGGCGCGGCGCGCCGTCGAATGCAGGAGGAGAGCGAGGCGTCCGACGGCGACGACTCCGACTTTGAAATGAAGGACCCGGAGGATGAGAAGGCGGCAGCAGGGGAGGACGACGACGATCTGGAGGACGCGGCGTCGGAAGACGAGGAGGCGGGGGACGATCTGGGCGGCGGCGCCGCCGCGCAGCGCGCCAAGAAGGCCGCAAAGCCCTCGGCGGGCGCGGCCCCCGGCAGGGCTGCGGCGGCGCACAAGGGCAAGGCGGCGGCAGGCAAGGCTGCGGCGGCAGGCGGCGGGGGGAAGGGCGGCAAGGCAGAGAAGCCGAAGATGGTGGTGACGCCGCACGCGCGCAAGTCGCCGGCCAAAGGGGGGTCACAGGCGGCGTCGGAGGGCGGCGAGGCCGCGGGCGGCGGCGGCGGCGCGGGGACGAAGCGGAAGCTGCCGGGGTCCCTGGTGCGCGGCGAGCGGCGCCCATTGCACGGCACACGGGGCGTCCGGCCGCGGGCGCCGCGGGGGCGAAGGGACAAAGGGACCACAGCCGCAAGCGCCCCCTCTCCTTCCCCTAAAGAGCCTCTGCGTCTGCGCCTGTCAGGCCCGGCGCCCCCTGCCATGCCCGCGGCGCCCCCTTGCAGCAGACCCACACACTCTCCCCTTCCCCCTCCCCCCGCCATCCCTCACAGGCGTCCCCCGCCGCCGTGGCGGAGCCCGCCAAGGCCCCCAAGCGCCCCACCCCCGCAAAAAAGGAGGCCCTGGCCGGTGACGCGGCGGAGGCGGTCGCGGCGGCGGAGGCGGCGGCGGCGGCGCTCCCGGAGGTCGCGGAGGAGTCCATAGAGTGGTTCGTGGAGGGAATGGCGTTTGACGACAACCCAGACCCCCCTATGGCGGGCCAGAAGGTGGGTCCGACTCTGTACGAGGATTTGTTTCGGATCAGATTGCATTCTGTGTGATAGGGCAGATGGGTGGATCGGGTGTGGGGGAATGATCGGGTCGGCCATGCCGTCGTATTTGGGGCGTGGGGCAGGAGGCATCAGGTCTGACGGGCAGTCCAGCCGCCATGCGTCGCGCCTGCAGCCCAGCTCACGCTCGGGGCCAGCTGCCGGGGCCTGCGCCAAGCGGGCAGGGGCGCGGCGCCGCCCGCTCCTGAGTCAGCGTCCCGAGCCCGCGACCGAGCCCATATGCTGCTATGGCTGCGTTGCGTGGCCTGCCTCCTCCTTTAGGAGATCCCGCGTGGCCACGACGAGTGCCTGCGTGACAAGGCTTTTGTGCTGAGCGGGCACCTGCCCAGCCTCAGGAGGGACGAGGCGCGGGACCTCATCTGCAGGTGTGTGTGTGTGTGCGCGCGTGCGCGCAAGTGCGCGTGTGTGTGTGTGCGTGTGTGTGTGCGTGTGTGTGTGTGTGTGCGTGTGCGTCTGCGTGCGTTTAGGTATGTGGGCGTATGTTTGCACGCATGCTTGGACGGATCACGAGTGCCTGTCGTGGCGAGGGGGTGGTGCATGGCACCCCTGCTGTTACTGCAGGCCGGCTGGCCGTCTTCGCTGCAGCAGCCGCGAGTGGCACCCGGCTCTGCCGACTGCCACCGCCCGGCAACCATTCCACTGCCATCCAGCCAGTCCTCCCACAACATTCCGCCTGTCCCATCACGCTTGCTCCCACACGTCACCCGCCAGGCACGGCGGCCGCGTCACCGGTGACGTCAGCGGCAAGACGTCGTTCCTGGTGGTGGGGCAGTATGCCAGCAAGCGAAAGTTTCGGGAGGTGCGTGGACATCAAGGGTTTCTTCCCAACATCAATTGCAGCATTGAGCCGTGTGCTTGCGTCCATCAACTTGGCATCAAAGTGGTCGCCACACCGGCCGTCCCGGGTGTGCTGCATGTCTTGCATGGCTGCCGAGCACTCCCTGGCCCATCCTTCAACCCGCGTTGTTGGCGCGTGTGGGTGTCATACGGCACCGTATACTGCCCTCCGCCATTGGCGGCGGCACAGGGACAGTCCTCTGGCAGCCGCCCTCGCACCTTGGGCCCCTCGCCTTGCTGTACGCGCCGCCCTCGCGATTGCTGCGCCCCCTCGCTTAGTTCACCTGCCCCTTACCTCAACACCCCCCCCCCACACACACACACACACGCACGCACGCACACACACACACAAACACACACACACGCACATACACGCACACACACCCAACAAAACAGGCCCACGAGAAGGCATTGCAGCAGCTGGCCAAGGCCGCCGAGAAGGAGGCCAAGGCCAGCGCCAGCAAGGGCTCCAGGGGCAAGCCCAAGCCCGCGGAGCGCCCGCCGCCGCCCTGCAAGGTCATAGACGAGGACGGCCTGTTCGCCATCATAGCCGCCACCGCGGGCCTCGCGCCGCACGAGGGCGGCGGGGTGGGAGCAGGGCCGGTGGCGGCAGATAGGGAGGCGGTGGCGGCGGCGGCGGGGGTGAAGGAGGAGGAGGGCGGGGCGGTGCCGGCGGCGGTCAAGCGGGAGCCCGGCGTGGCGGCCGCGGCCGGGCCGGCGCCGATGCGGGGCGCGGCGTTCCATGGCGGCGCGGCGGCGGCGGTGGCCCCAACAGCAGCGACCGTTGGCGGGGGATACGGCTCGGGGCCGGGGCGGGCGGACGGCGGCGCGCCGGCGCTCGCTGCGGGCGGTGAGTGTTGTCCCTTTCCACATTCGAATCGCGTAGCGTCTATGTGCGGCCAACCGACGGCACGCCCGGACGGCTGCTGCCTAGCCAGCGCAGGAGGGCCTCCCAGGGGCGGCGCCTCGGGGACGCGCCCCTGCGTGGGGCCCAAGCTTCTGCACCCAATGAAGCCCCCGCAAACCTGCCTGGCCTCTTGCCCTGCACCTCCCGCCCAAACCGAATTCTGTTGGTCGCAGCACCCGCAACGGCAACCCCGGCCTGGACCCCCTATCTCAATCCAATCCAAGCTCCAAGCTCCATGCCACCCCCGCCCTTTCGCCGCCGCCTGCTCAGACCCGCCC